AGCATCGCCCGCCCGGAGCGGGCCGGCCCCGCCGCAGCGGAGGCTCCGCGCCGCGCCGGGCCATGCGCTGACGCCGCCGCGCAGCCCGCACCAAGGGCGGATCCCGGGCAGGACACGGTGAGGCGGCGGCTCCGCAATGCGACCCGCGGGGCGGCACCGGCCGGGCGAGCGGGGGGGCCGCGACCGGGCAGGGCACGGCCGGGCACTGGGGCTGCCCCCTCCCGCCCAGCTCCGGGTCGGCCGGAGCCGGTAACGGGCCCAGGATCGCCCCTCCTTGCCCTGCCCTTCGTCCTCCTCCTGCCTCCATCCTGCTCTTCATCCTCCTCCTGCCTCCATCCTGCTCTTCCCTTCATCCTCCTGCCTCCATCCTGCCCCTTCTCCCTCCCTCCCTCCTGCCCTTCTGCCCATCCTGCCCTTTCCCTTGCTGCCACCTATCCCTTTTCCTGCCCTCACCATCTCCTTTCCCTCCATCCTGCCTTTTCCCTCCATCCTGCCCCTTCCCTGCAGTGTATCCTGCTCCTTCTCCTTCCATCCGTCCTGTCCCTCCTCCCACCATCCATCCTGTCATTCTCCTTCCATCCATCCTGTTCCTTCTCCTGCCTCCATCCTGACCCTTCTCCCTCCCTCCCTCCTGCTTCTTTCCTGCCTCCTCCTGCCCCTTCTCCTTCCCTCCATCCACCCCCATATTGATGTCCCCCTCCGATGACAGCACGGGGGGAGCAGAGCCCCCCAGCAGGGTCAGGCCCAGGCTGGGGAGGCTCCATCCCGGCTCAAGGACCCTCTGGGCACAAGAGCACTTTGCGGGCAGGGGGACAGAAGGGTGTCCGGGGTGGGGGGGCTCTCCGGAGGCCCCCGCCGCAGCCTGACGCTCCGTGTCTGGCTCAGCCGCGGTCCTGGCTCTGCTCCCATCCTCCTGGCGATACCTCTGGAGGTTGGGGACCCACCGGGGCTGTTGTCCCTGCACTGCCCCAGGCGTGTGGGACTCGGGACACGCTGCGGGGATCAGGGCTCCCTGCAGCAGCCACATCCTGGCACTGCGGTGCAGAGGGGCCGGATCCGGGGTCTGTGGTAGGGAACCCTGGTCCCCAGCACTCTGGTCCCTTGGAACCAAGCAGGTTCCCGTGTCCCCCAAAGGCCACAGTGGTGCTGGGGCTGTGACGCTCCCACCCGGCCCGGGGCAGCGGCTGCTGCTCCTCCTGTGAAGCTGCTGGGTGAGCAGGCAGGACCCGGCCGTGCCGCTGTGGAGCCCTGCGGCATCACGGCCACGTTGCTCTGCCCACATCCCTGCCCTGGGAGCGGACTGGAGGAGCGGGCTGGAGTAGCAGGGAGCAGCACGGCAGGGTCCGGAGCGGCGCAGCACGGAGCAGCGCGGCAGCATCGCCCCCCGCCGCGTGCCTTGCTGGCAGCCTCGGCCGCAGCTGCTGCGCTCGTGGCCGCGGCCCGGCCATATGGCTGCAGCGAGCGGCTGGTAAAAATAGCGAGCGCTGCCGCCCGGGCGGGCGGCTCAAGGGCAGGATGCAGCAGGAGGCGGCAGGGGCTGCGTGTCCCCCCGGCGCGCGCCCTGACGCAGCTCCGGGCTCTCCTTGCAGCGGCGGTCACGTCTCGGGGCAGGATGCCGGAGCAGAGCAACGACTACCGCGTGGTGGTGTTCGGCGCGGGCGGCGTGGGCAAGAGCTCCCTGGTGCTGCGCTTCGTGAAGGGCACCTTCCGTGACACCTACATCCCCACCATCGAGGACACCTACCGCCAGGTCATCAGCTGCGACAAGAGCGTCTGCACCCTGCAGATCACCGACACCACGGGCAGCCACCAGTTCCCGGCCATGCAGCGCCTGTCCATCTCCAAGGGCCATGCCTTCATCCTGGTCTTCTCCATCACCAGCAAGCAGTCCCTGGAGGAGCTGAGGCCCATCTACCAGCAGATTGTGCAGATCAAGGGCAGCGTGGAGAGCATCCCCATCATGCTGGTGGGCAACAAGTGCGACGAGACGCAGCGCGAGGTGGAGACGCGCGAGGGGGAGGCCGTGGCCAAGGAATGGAAATGCGCCTTCATGGAGACCTCTGCCAAGATGAACTACAACGTGAAGGAGCTCTTCCAGGAGCTGCTCAACCTGGAGAAGAGGAGGAACGTGAGCCTCACCATCGACGGCAAGCGCTCCAGCAAGCAGAAGAGGACAGACAAAATCAAGGGCAAGTGCAGCATCATGTAGAGCCCCGGACTGGCCCCGGCCCCACTCCCGGCTCGCCCCTCTCCCCACTCCAAGTCCGGACGTCGGCGTTGAAGCTGGGCCCGTCCCCTCGCCCTCCACGCGATCACTGTGACTGCGCCGGGCGGCAGCGAAGACGGGGAGCTCCGGGAACGCCGGGAGCGCCGGGCGGACACAGGGTGCGGAGATGATGGGGGGGCCCAGGCTCAGCGCAGGGGGGACGGCGCTTGCCCCGCACAGTGCGGTGCAGCCTGGCCCGGGAGCGCACACACATGCACACACACATGCACGTACATGCACACAAATGTGTGCACACACATGCATACTGACACACACATGCACACATGTGCATACAGATGCACACGCAGACACGTGCACACACACCTGTGCACATACACACATGCAGACACACACATGTGCAGGTACGCACACGCACCCTCAGCACAGCCCTGGCGCCCGGGCTGCTCTCCAGGGACACCCGCACAGCCGGGGGCAGCAGATGGGGACGGGACCCTGGGGGCCACGAGGGGACAGGGGTGGGCACCTCTCTGGGAGCTGAGGGGCTGAGTACCGGATGGTCCCATTCCCAGTGCCATTCCCAGTCCCGTTCCTGGTGCCATTCCCGGTCCTGTTCCCGGTGCCATTCCCGGCCCTGTTCCCGGTGCTGGCAGCGGTCCAGCCCCCCTCGCCCCGCCGCCCCGCCACGGCGCCGCGGCCGCCGGAGCCGCCAGCCCAAGCACAAAAGCCGCGGGCCCGCGGGCCCTGCCCCAGCACAATCCTGGCGAGCTCCGGCGCCCGCCCCAGCCCTGGCACCAGGGTGATGGGCGCCGTGTCCCACGGTGGCCCCGTCGGGTGCCCCTATCCCCCCGTCCAGGCACGGTCCCGCTCGCCCCGTTCCCCGAGCCCGCCCCGGGGCGCCCCCAGCAGCCCCTCTCCCCAGGGCTGCGCGGCGCCCCGCTCCCCCCATCACCGGCTTTTTACGACACGACCGACCAGGGGACAAGGTGACGTTGCGATGTAGCCTTTACTCTAGACATAGTCTTCCTTCAATAAAGAGATGAGAAACGGCTGCTGCGTCCCCTGCACCGCGCGGGGCGCCGGGGCCCTGCACTCCGCGTCCCATCGCGTCCCATCGTGTCCCATCCTGTCCCCGCACATCCCGGGGCTCGGCAGAGGGAGCGCGGGACGGAGCCGGAGCTGCAGCCCCGGCAGGGGACGGGAGGGCAGCGGGGAGGGGACGCAGCTCCTCACGTGTGCGACACGCGTGGGCACAGGAGCGTACGGGCTGGCACGCGTTCGCATGTACGTGCACCCGTGTGCAAATGCGTGTGCACGCGCGTGCCCATCCGCGTGCACACACGCGCGTGCACGTGCGCGTGCCCCGGCGCGGGCGGCCGCGTGCCGCTCGTCGCGCTCGCCCCGCCGGGCCCGCAGCCCCCGGGAACGGGCGCCCGCCGCCCCCCCGCGCTCCGTGGGGAGGGGGTGGCAGCAGCAAGTGCGTCATCCGCCCGTTGCCACGGAAACCAGCGGCTCGCGGGAGCGGCGCGGGCGGGTGCGGGCGGGAGCGGAGCGGGAGCCGGGGCCTCGCTCGGCACCGGCACCAGCACCGGCATCGGCGCCCCCCGCGCCCCCGGCACCCCCCGCGTCCCCCGCGTCCCCCGCGGACCCTGCGGACCCTGCGGACCCCGCGGACCCCGCGGACCCTGCGGACCCTGCGGACCCTGCGCCCCGGCCCAGCCCCGGGAAGCTGTGAGAGCCCCGGGGCGCTCAGAGCCTGAGCATTCCCGTTCCCTGCCCAAGTGCTCCCTGCTCCCCACTCATCTGCTCCCTGCTCCCATCCCGGCTCCGTTTTGCAGCTCTCAGCTCTCTCCTCTTCCTGCGTCTCTGCCTACCCTGCCCCCTCGCCCCTTTCCTCCTTTCGTTCCTGCCTCGCAATCCAAGTGGAAAGAAGAACTCGAATGGACACTGCCTCCCTCTGCTGCAGGTTGCGGCTCCTCTGGAGCACAAGGACACCCGGGAGGGCAATGTTGCCGTCACGGGGCTGTGGGGATGAGGCCGGGGGTCCTGCTCCATGAGAAGGCCTGGGGACCATGACCCTGCAGCAGCACAGGGGTCTCTGGGGATTCTCCTGGGACTACTCAAGGAATTCTCTTGGGGATGCACCTGGGATGCTTGCAGGGCTGTTCCTGGGGGGATGCTTGTGCTCTCAGCAGATGACACTCGCTCTGTTTCTTGCTGTGACTCTGACTTTCCAGGCCCCATTGCCTGGTATCCTGCTGCCTCTCCGGGATGCCTCATTCCCGCGGGCCCAGCCACCCTCACACTCCGATGGCGCAGACCTGGCAGTGGCTAAAGCAGCTTATAGCTGCCGGGTGAGGGCATATGGGAGCAAACAGGATTAGGGAAAATCAGCCTTCTTCCTGCTAACGGGATTATTATTATTTTCTCCTGAATGCACTGCAGCACTGCAGCCTGCAGGGGCTCCTCCAGAGCGGGATGGGACAGGATGGGATGGGATCCACCTGGGCATGGCAGAGCTGAGGCTCTGCCAGGCACCACAGAGGCACCGAGACATGTGACGCTGGTGACGCAGCCGGATCTGTCCCCCGGGCTGCAGCTGGGCGCAGTCAAAGCCTCCATTCATGGCCGTGCTGGGAGCTGCTGGCACTGTATCCCGCTGCCAGCTGCTCCGACCCGTGCCTGGGTTTTCCCTTTGCCCCCTGCTCTGCAACAAAGGAGGTGCTGCTGGGTCCCAGGCTCTGTGCCCTGGAGCTGCGCATTCCCATTCCCATTCCCATTCCTGCTCCAGGCGAGCATGCGGTGTGTGTCATACACCACGCTCCATGTGTCACAGACCATGCTCCATGCTCCTCGTGCCAGGAAGGGAGCACCGTGCCAGTGAGGTTGAACCATCACAGTGCCCCCCCTGCTTCCCAGGGGGGTCCCTAGCTCTGTGGGTCCCCCCTGCTTCCCAGGGGTCCCTAGCTCTGCGGGTGACAGGGACAAGGGGTAGCGCTCGCAGCGCTGCGGGAGGCCTGGGGGGACTAGCAGGGTGTGGGAGGGCAGGACAGGGGGCTGCAGGGCAGAGGGGGTCCTTGCACGGCCCCATCTCGGCCCTTGGGCTGCATTGGGTCCGGGTCCGGGTCCGGGTCCGGGTCCGGGTCCGGGTCCGGGTCTTCGCGCCCCCGGCACCACGTGTCACCTGGGAGAGCGCCCCCTATCCCGGGCGCGCCCTCATTAATATTAACAACATGTTTGTATATCCCCGCCCCCTCGCTGCGGTCCGATTGGCTGTGCCCCCTGCCACTCACCCCCCACCGCCCTCCCCGCTCCGCGATCTCAACCGACCCTAGTGGCCGCTCCTAGTCCCGCCCTCGAACTGGCGTCTCCCGTGCCGATTGGCTCTCTCCCCTGCCACTCAGGCGCTGGGGCGGGGCGCGCGGGCCGCCAGCGCCGCCCGTGCCCGGCCGGCGCTCGGTAGCAGGGTGCGTTGCGCGGCGGCGCCTGGTGCCTC